TTTCTTTCTTTCTTTCTTTCTTTCTTTCTTTCTTTCTTTCTTTCTTTCTTTCTTTCTTTCTTTCTTTCTTTCTTTCTTTCTTTCTTCTTTCTCTCCTTCTTTCTTAGATTTATTTATGTGTTATGTATACAGTGTTCTGCCTGTGTGTATGTCTTTATGCCAGAAGAGGGCATCAGATCTCATTATAGATGGTTGTGAGCCACCGTGTGGTTGCTGGGAATTGAACTCGGGACCTCTGGAAGAACAGCCAGTGCTCTTACCCTCTGAGCTATCTCTTCAGCCCAAAACACACCTTTTTCACTAGTAAATTGTTTTCAGATGAGAGGATTCAATTCAAGTTCCACTCCTGGCACATAAAGTAACTAAACTTTACAGCACTTCAGTGATGTTGTACTTCAAAATCTGGAAGCTCTCACAATACTGCTCTAGGATGCCACAGAAGGGACAACAACACTTTCTTTCACCATACCTGAGGTTCATGTGATGTTTCATGTAGCTATAAGAAGCAACATCACACTTTTCTTTCTAAATGCTAGGCATATGATCTGATGTTTCACAGATGATACTGAGGTTGGGAGACAAGTTTGGATCCTCAGGATGATTTGCACTTGGCTTGAATCTCACAGAGGACACATTGAACTACTTGGTGGTTCTATCTTAAGCCTCATTTGAAGAGTGTATGCAGGGTTCTGAGACTGGACAGGTTCCATTATGAGCCAGGGTGGGAGGGAACTACACATAGTGTCTAGACTTCCGTGTGGTAACTTAGCATCCTGCTGAAGCATGTTCTTGTCTAGATAGAATCAGCACTAGAGTGACTGACATTTGTATTTCCCTGCCCTGGAATTGTCACACAGGACCACCAAGATTGTGTGGATATTGAAATGTATATGTTATGTAGCACTTGGTGAAGAAGAAAGCATATCCCACATAAGTCACAGAGAACCTACGTGAATAGCATCCTGGCTCTGAATTAGATGATGAAGGGTTTAGGAAAGCAGCTCTACCTGGCCATTTTAGTTTTT